CCTGCCCCCCCCCCCCCACCAAGTCTTTCCTAATCATTTTGACTAGGTCATATTCTGTCAGTCATGGCCCTAATATCTATCAATGATGTTGCTCCATCATGGCATTTGCTAAACTTTTATGAACACCTAGTGCTTGGCACGATGCCTGGCAAAGGATACCCAAATTTGCTGAATGAAGCCTCAGGTCAGTCAGTGGCTTAATACACTGTCTCCCTAATATAAACACAGTACTTAAACTAATACTTACAAATAAGGAAAATAAATACATTAATACATTTGCCTTTCCTACATCAGGGACAAACTGCTGATCTTCCACTGCCTATGCTCAGAGCCAGGCTGCTGCATGGAAGTAGATTAGGCTTCAGAACAGCTTGTTAAGGTAAGGTATTAGTAGTAGAGATTGAGAGAGTGCAACAGTCTAGCCTTCTCAGAAGATCAGACTACTGAATTTTGTTAAGCCCTTTCCTCACCTATCACAAGTAGCACTTCTCTTACAGCTTTGCTGGTTGGCATATACAACTGAAGCAGACTTCGTTCAAGGACAATGAGGAATCAGGTTTTCATATAACTTAATCTAATGTAATTTAAACATTCACTAGTCTTTTCCAGTATTTTTGTGGTATTCGAAATAAGAAAAGGTACAGAGATGAACCATATCAATTTACTTTCATTATTCTAAGGGTTTTTCCTCATCATTATTAGCTCCATAAAAGGGACAAGTTCAAGGGCAATACTGATTCTTTAAAACCTACATTTTATGAACTGGTTGTCAAGTGAACACCTCAGTTAATGAGCCTTCTGACATTAAGCACACATTCTCATGTCTCCTATAAGTGGAAGTCTCCCACAGGACAGGGTACATGTACAAAGGTACTTCAAAAAGTTCATGGAAAGATTCACGCTTTTTTTTTTTTTCCTTTTTGTCTTTTTTCGTGACCGGTAACGGGATCGCAACCCTCGGTGTCGCGCCCGCACCACGCTCAACCAGTGAGCGGACCAGTCTCTATATGGGATCCGAACCCTCAGCAGGAGCGTCACACTATCTTTTAATTCTATTTTTCCATGAACTTTTTGAAATCTCCTCACATAAGGAGGCAAAACAACTGAAGAAGCTAACTGATTAAAAACATTTACAAGATATTTAATATCAAGATACAATGATTGGAAAAATTCTTCCATATTCTTTAGAAATGGTAGATCTGGAAATAAAACTGCCCTAGCCAAGGTAATCAATGACATTCTACCTTTACTAAAGCTTTAAAAAAGTTCCATTACCCACGAGATGATTGATATTGTGCACGTACAAAGCATTATATATGTGGTCTTGCTACACCAAGAGGCTGTAGGTGCCATGTGAGACAATCATTTCATTGCAACTCTGCTAACATATGTATTTGACCAAACAAAAGGCCTTCTGCAGCTAGGACGACCATTCATATACTATACAGAATACTTAGTACTAAGATTCAGATCTTCATGGGACTTTTTGAAAAAGTTTTGGGCCCCATAACGAGGCACTCACTTAAAAAATATGGTTTGAATTGAGACATAAAAGGTTTACATTTAAACTGTGATGGTAGAATGCCAAAAAAAAAAAGAAAAGAAAATTATAGTATTTCAAAAAGAACAAATGATTTTTAAAAACATACATCAAACTATGAACACCTTTACACATTCACAACATCTTCACTAATGCATAGAAGTTTGAAACCTAGAAGGCATTTCTCCCCCATCCCATCTCTGAACTGATTCATAGAGATCGCTGCATAAAGAACTTATTAACTTCAATTCTGATTTTAAATGTCATGAAATTATTTTCTATACAGATAGCAAATTTAGTTTTATATAGGACTGCAGGCATACGTCATCTAGGGATTAATTACCCAGTAAACCACGAATATTTTATCCATCCCCCTAAAATACAGCTAACATATGGTTGTGGTACATCCCAGGCAGATGTCATTTAAAGCACACAAGGGGAGGTGCTAACAAAATACTCATTTTCAAAAAGTAAACAGATAACCCTTCCAATATGATGTACCACAACCACACATGAGAAAAGTCAAGAACTTATTTTATTTTATTTTAAAATAAACATTGAAGAACCCTCATTCCCCAACACCCTACAAAACTTCTGAACGTGGAATGTTCAACAGCTATCCATTTTAGTAGGTTACAAAACCAGCAAAAACTCCAGTTGTTTAATGATGAATGTTTGAGAATAGTTTTGTTTTGAAGTAGCTGAGCACCTACTGAAAA